GAACAGAAAATCTAAAAATTCTAACACCACTGTTTCCAACAATGTGATTGGAGTTGTTAACCTGATAAATTATTTAAATAGTTTCCAAGCTTTCTCATAATGTATAGAAGTTTGGGGTCTATGACCTGCTATTACTTGGTTAACTATACAGTAATACCCCACTTAAAAGGTTCTCGTTTACGCATTTCTACATTTTCGCAGTACCCTGCCAGAACCGGAATTCCCATTTTATGCGGTGCATCTACTCATATTATACGCAGGTGAAGTATAATTTTTTTATTTAGCTCATAAAATTCATACACATTACCTGGCCAGAATATAATTTACATTGCGGGAATTCTTACAATATGACGATCATTTTGAATATAAACATCATGGATTTTGCATTAGACATACAAATTTAGATCTAATGTATAATTTTGTTTACACAGAGTAAATATGTTATCTTTTGTGCAAAATATATGACATGTATATTCAAAATATTCCTGGTCTTGCAAGGAATCCAGCAATGTCAATTATATTATCCTAACTTTAGTCTGAGGTATTATTTATTACTAAAAATGTAAATATAGCTAGACCCCGACTTACGACTGCTACGACTTACGACCGTCGGGACTTACGACCCCCGCAGATTTTTTATTAAAAAAAAAGAATTTTTTTTTTTTTTTTTTTTTCAAATGAGACGCATTTTCTATACCGAAACGTTTCCAGTTAATGTAGTCTCCATTTATAATTAGAAAATTATGGGGGCCCCATGTGCATTCAGCTGACTACATGAAAGGTAAGTGCTCAGTCACACTGTATCCATTCCTTATTATTTATTACTTTCACTGTACTGTATCCATTCCTCATTATTCATTACTTTTACTGTACTGTATTTCATTGTAGATTTTTTATTAAAAAAAAAAAAATTTCTCTGTCGGACTTACGACCTGGATTTGGGTCCCTAACCCCGTCGTAAGTCAGGGTCTAGCTGTATACTGTTTTAACCCAAACATTTCTCTGGTAGGGAGGGAAGGTGGGGGGTAGGGAGGGAGGGTGGGACCCAGCGAGCGTGGGAAGAGGGTTGGAGCCTGAGGTGGGGTATTTTGATTGACAGATAGTGTCTGGGTGAAGTATATTTTTTTTATTTACTGAAGATATTTGTTTTAGCTCATAAAATTCATACCAATTACCTGGCCAGAATATAATTTACTTTGCTGGAATTCTTACAATATGATGATCATTTTGAATATAAACATCATGGATTTTGCATTAGACATACAAATTTTAGATCTCATGTAAGAATTTGTTTACACAGAGCAAATATGTTATCTTTTGTGTAAAATATATGACGTGTAAATTCAAAATATTCCTGGTCTTGCAAGGAATCCAGCAATGTCAATTATATTATCCTAACTTTAGTCCGAGTTATTATTTATTACTAAAAATGTAAATATACTGTTTGAACCCAAACATTTCTCTGGTTAGGGAGGGAAGGTAGGGGTGGAGGGTAGGGAGGGAGGGAGGGAGGGACCCAACGAGCGTATGAAGAGGGGGGGGACCCGGAGGTGGGGTATTTTGATTGACAGATAGTGTCTGGGTGAAGTATATTTTTTTTATTTACTGAAGATACAGGTTGTACCTCTCTAGTCCGGCAACCTCGGGACCTGAACGGTGCCGGACCATGGAAATTTCTGGACCATGGAAATTCACCCTCTTCCTGGATAGATAGTGACTTGTGCATACACTTGGAAGCACTAGCACCACTTTCACTGCTTCGTGGTCTCTTTGAAGACATATTGAAGGGTTAAATGTTGTACAGTAGGTTCTCAAATTTCGCGAGTTTTTAATTCGACGTTTTTTATTTGGGCACAAAAAAAACACTGCACAATTTAAAATTTCAACGGAGAAAACTCGAATTTCGACGGGTTTGAGCAGCCCGCCAACGTTCAGACATGCACAATTGTGTAAACAGCGTCATTTCTCGATGTACAAAACATTCATTATTGTGAGTTACTGAATGTCTTTTTGATTGAATTAATGTTTATGTGTGCAAAATGAACAATACAATTCATTAATAATACGTAGAATATTAAAACACACGAGGAGACGAGACAGCATTGTTTTCGTTGTTTACAAAACCAGTGACTGACTGGTTCTACATATAAAACTGAAGAAAATAAGACCCTGGTTGTAGCTGTAGTAAAATTAATATGGTTGTTTTAAGTAATGTTATTTAATGTTAATAAATGGAACAATGGAAGTAGCCAATCATTAATGGTAAAAAAATAAGAGAGATCGCGTATGTAAGTGCGCACATGTGAAAACATATCGTCATTACATAAGAATATGAAAGCAACACTTATTTACTGTTCATATGTGTTTTAATTAATGTTTCTTTATTTTTTTATTGAATTAATGTTTATGTGTGCAAAATGAACAATACAATTCATTAATAATACATGGAATATTAAAACACACGATGAGACGAGACGGTATTGTTTTCGTTAATGTTTACAAAACCAGGGACTGATTGGTTCTACATATAAAACTGAAGAAAATAAGACCCTGGTTGTAGCTGTAGTAAACTTAATATGGTTGTTTTAAGTAATGTGAGACATGACTGGAATCATTCATGTGGTTTCAAGTCGACCAGCCCTGATATAGCTACTACCGCACATGTCAAAAATTTTCAAGAGACTTCACAGAAAAGAACATATTATTAGTTATTACAGAGAGATGATTCTTTGCATTATTAATCAGATAAACCTCTACTCAAATAATGGTTCTGTCCAAGAATGCATGTATAGGCTTCTTTAAGTCCAAGGTCAGATAGATTCAGAATAATTATTAACTCAACTATAAATATAATTGAAGTTTTGCATCCAATAGTAAAACAAATAAACTATTTAATGAATTTGATAAAATTATAACAAAAGTATGAACATGTTGGAAAAAACAAGAATTTTAATAAAAATAACCGCCATCGACCATGGATAATGGATTTATTGAACACAAACATTGATCAATTGCAAAATAGAAAATAAACATTACCTTTATTTACAGACCAGGCACTTTACGTGTCCTGGCCGCTGCAAAGTTTTTGATCAACTTTTCGAAGTCAATCTCTCTGAGGATGTCATATTCGATACTCATCAAAGCCAGGTGGCTGAGCCTATCATGACACATTGTAGTACGAAGTCTGTTTTTAATAAACTTCATTTTACTGAAAGAACGTTCACCAGAACAATTTGTGACCATGAGCACCAAGTACATCCGTAGCATTATTTCAACATTTGGAAATGTATCTACAACTTTCTTGTCTATCAACAGCTTGTAAAGGTAATGTGCCCTCCCTTTCTCATCATCTTCGTCTTCAAGAAATTGAGTGAAGAATGCTGTAAACTGCACAAGTTCAACTCCAAGTGTTTGATCCAAATCATTTTTGTACTCAGCAACCAATTTTGCTGCAGCTGCTTCAATTTCGTCACAATTCATTGACTCCAGTTTAGACAAGAACCCGAAAAGTGAACAGGTTTCCTCATAGGCCTTTAACCGTTTATCCAGTGAACTCAGGAACTGATCAATTGCTGGAAGGAAATTCTTAACCTGAAGTTTTTCTGACTGTGAGAGGGCTGCTTCTTCTGATCGTCCATAATCCAATGGATTGAGTCTTACATTACGTTGATGCTTGCGTGTCTGTGAATAATCCCCAGTTTCTGACATTTCCCTTCCCTTCTTCTCATATACATGGAAGCAATCTCTTTTTTCTCGTGCAAAACATTCCAAGGACTTCAGCATTGCTACTGCTGTGTTCAAATTGAGTTTAGGATCTTGCAATGCATGGCTTGTTTCATTAACTCTGCCAAGAATGTCATGCCAAAACACAACATAAATAGCAGTCTCTAACATGCATATCGTATCATGGAGACCACTGGCTTCATAACATGTTTTGCTCGTCTCATTTTCATCTCTAGCTATTTTACCAAGTGCTTCTCGGATTGGGAGATAACCTTGGACAACTGCTTTCACAACACAAACAATAGCATTCATTAAAAATATACGGTTCATAGGAAAACCAGGTATTCATGAATTTCAAGGCGTAGCTAGCCTAATTTCTATCACGCTTCTTGCTGAACATAGTTTTACATGATGGAATAGATAAACATGAATTATAAAGAATGATAATAAAAATAATCCAAATGAATAAACAAATAAATAAAATATTGTAATATGTGGAGGCCCCCAGATTGTGGAGGCCCCTGGGCAGCTGCCCACTTTGCCCACTCCTGAATCAGGCCCTGGAGATAATGCATGACCTTTATTGTTCAAGGAACTTTGGATACCAAAGGCTCCTATTTTCCCAGAGACTCTGAAGAACTCTGCGATACAAGAGAGTCAAGGGTGATTATTAATTCTTTCAGCACCCCATCCTTCCTTGCACAATCTATTGCAGTCTCTCTTGTTTGGGTCTTGTCTTTAATGTAATTTCTTTCAACCTCTCCCCATGCCTTTCTTGGCCTACTCCTGGTTCTAGTCCCCTCTACATATAGGATCCTGCACCTCTTGAAACAATTGGTTTCAAGCATTCTCTCCACATGCCCAAAGCATCTCAGCCTTGCTCTATGCAATTCTCACTTTTACTCTCAATACCCAGGCACTTTCGTAGCTCTGAATGAGGGGCTCATCACCAATTTAGGGTTTCTACACCCTTCCTGTGGGCACATGGTTACGTGTAGTTTGCCATCTACTCCATTGCACCCGCCTTCCACACTCACTGCACATTAATGAGTTGCTGTCACCATTTTCCAATTTTCACCGTGGATCTCTCACCCACACCATTAATCAAAACAGTACCTCCTGTACAGAACTCTTATTCTTACCATATTCACCATCAGGCATTTTGACTCTTAGAGCTTTTGTATTCATTCTTATCACACTACTTTTTAAAAATAAACAAGATAAATAAAATTTAAATATGAAAGACAAATCATTGATCAAAATAGTATATGACCTACCTGGTTTAGTCTCTTCTCCAACACAATATTCCTAAGTTCACTTCGCTGCTGCACTTCACCAACCACTCCAACAAAGTGGTCATAGAGTTCCTTTCGTTCCTGTTCAATCTGCAAACAATTTAGATTTAATGGAGAAAACTCTGATGCACTATTATTTTTTTTAATGGGTTACATGTATCATTTTAATGTTAATTTCAATTTAGTGCTGTATCCTGTAACTGATAAGTTATTGAGTTTGATGGGTTAAATATATATATTTTTTGTTAATTCCAGAATGCGACATCTAGCTTTCTACCTAGGTATGTAAATGCCTAGCATTAACTCGCCAGGCAAACATACAGGCAATTAAAACATCTAATAATTACATAAATACGTAATATTAGGGGGACATGTCTCTACCTGGCATTTAATTTAAATTCTCAAAACCCCCTCCTCCACCTTCCATCACACGCATTGCTACCTTCATCTTCTTGCCTGGCGAATCAGCTGTAAATATGTACAAGGAAAGCTCCGCTCATTTGTGTTGTAAAAGATGAAATACTAAGTGACATGACGATTTTATATTTGGTATTTACGTATACATCTTAGCACGGTGAGGAAATCGAGTGACTTTTATTTTGTTTATGTCTTTCAGAGATTGTGTTTGGGGCAATTTTTTTATCCGGACCATGGAAATTCACCCTTTTCCTGGATAGATAGTGACTTGTGCTTATGCTTGGAAGCACTAGCATCACTTTCTCTGTGTCATGGTCTCTTTGAAGACATATTGAAGGGGTAAATGTCGTATAGTAGCTTCTCAAATTTCGCGAGTTTTTAATTCTTTACGTATTTTATTGGAACACAAAAAAATAAATAAATAAAAATTTTGACGCCGGAAACTTGAATTTTGACGGGTTTGAACGGCCCGCCAACGTGCAGACGACGTGCATAATCGGGTAAACAGCGTCATTTCTCTTATGTACAAAAGATTCATTATTATTTATTACTGAATGTCTTTTTTATTGAATTAATGTTTATGTGTGCAAAATGAGCAATACAATTCATTAATAATACGTAGAATATTAAAACACACGAGGAAATGACACAGCATTGTTTTCGTTGATTACAAAACCAGTGACTGACTGGTTCTACATATAAAACTGAAGAAAATAAGACCTTGGTTGTAGCTGTAGTAAAATTAATATGGTTGTTTTAAGTAATGTTATTTAATGTTAATAAATAGAACAATAGAAGTAGCGAACGATAATGGTAAAGAAAATAGAGAGATCGCGTATGTAAGTGTGCATGCGCACACATGAAAACATATCGTCATTACTTTACATAAGAATATGAAAGCAACACTTATTTACTGTTCATATATATTTTAATTAATATTTCTGAATTTGTTTTTATTGAATTAATGTTTGTGTTTGCATAATTAACAATACAATTTATTAATAATACGTGGAATATAAGAGGAGACGAGACAACTACCAGCACTGTTTATATTACAGCTTACAAAACCAGTGACTGATTGGTTCCAAATATAAAACTGAAGAAAATAAGACCCTGATTTTAGCTGTAGTAAAATTAATGTAAAAAAATTAATATGGTTGTTTGAAGTACCTGTAATGTTATTTAATGTTAATAAATGCAACAATATAAGTAGCTGACCATTAATGGTAAAAAAAAGTGAGACTGCGCGTATGTAAGTGCGCACATGTGAAAACATATCGTCATTACTCTACATAAGAATATGAAAGCAACACTTATTTACTGCTCGTATATATTGAAGGGTTAAATGTTGTACTCTGTATAGACAAGCAGAGAGAGAGCAGCCGAACTTCCGGATGTAAACAAACTTTAATTTCCGGCGGCTTTGGTTTTTTTTTTTTAAGGGGATTAGCCAACCCGGGCATAGGTCATTGACCCACATTGGGGCCTGAGGGGCAAAAATTTAATACTCCTGTAATAATAATAATTCAGATAAAAAAGAAAAAAAAAAAGAAAAAAGCTGCCTATCTACCTATAGGACAAACTAAAATCGTTCCGGACCACGGGAGTTTCCGGACCACAGAATGCCGGACTACAGAGGTACAACCTGTATTTATACTTACATGTATGTGGAATACTATATACGTACATATAAACTCTTACTGTTAAGTCACTACTGTAATGTGATGCAGGTGATTAATTTTTATCTCTTATGCAAAATACATGACGATTATATTAAAATTATTCACTGTCTTACAAGGATTCCAGCAACGCTGGGCAGATGGAAGGGAGGGAGAGAGGGGGGAGGGGAGCGGGAGGTGAGGTGGTACGTTTGACAGTTGGCGCCCAAGGTCTAACGCGTGTTTATTTATCAGTTCTTAAGTGACTAAGCTTCTCTCTTATAAAACGCCAGTGAAGTGACCTGGGTGAATATAATTTACATTGCTGGGATTCTTGTAAGATGTTGATTAATTTAAATATAAACAACCTATAATTCCCACTAGACATAACAATTTTAGTACCGTAATCAAATTAGTACATGTGCACTCCAGCTTTGCACTAAGGTCATTTATTTCTTTTATGTTTCTTTTACTATGGTGTGTGCATGTAAATGGATGAAAATAAATGAAGAAATTTATGTAAATCTGCCCAAAAATACAGTTGAAAACTTTATATTATAAAATGTACTACAGTATTGTACACTAATGTATTACAATTTTAATCTCTTGAGCAAAATATATGACGTTTATATTTAAATTAATCTCTGTCTTGCAAGGATTTCAGCAATGCAAATTATATTCTCCTATAGTCTGAGATATTATATGAAAAACTTAAGGCCTAAAAACCCCCACGCGAGGGAGCGTGAGGTGGGAGGGGAGCTTGAGGTGAGGCGATATAATTTGACAGTTGGCGCTGAAGGCCTGCGTGTTAATTTATCATTTTTTAAGAGTGACTAAGCTCTTCTCATAATTTGCCACCCAAACGACCTGGGTGAATATAACTTACATTGCTGGGATTCTTGTAAGATAGTAATTTATTTGAATACCTGTATAAACAAGCTATATTTGCAATAGACATAACAATTTTAGTACCTGTACTGTAATCATTTAGAACATGTACAGTACAGGTTTGCACTTAGGTGTATTGTTAACCGCGGGACCACTGTATTGCAGTAGGGTGTGTCATAGGAGGGAAGATCAGCTAAAACTAATGGCCCATCACTTTTTTGGTAGATTTTAGTGTATATAAACAGAAAATAATTTCAGTTTCAATATTTTGCAACCTTTTGCTAGGTAAATTTTAGCGTGAAATTTATCGAAAATCTAACGTACAGCTGCATTAGTGCATTACAATTAAATAGTGAACATTGCTTTCTGACTTCATTCTTTAACAACCCAACTAACAATATTTTTTTCTGTTTCAGATTCTGATGCATTTATAAGTTGATAATATTTGCGATGGTTGCTTGTGTCAGGACGAGGAACCAAAAATCCAGCCATCTCAGTCACTATCTTGGGTCTGGGAGAGAGCTCCTGAAGTCGGAGTTGCCTACATTGAGAGATGCTTTGAGATACGGTGTTTTAATCAGGCAAATCAGTGAAAAGAACCAAAGAACTTACACAAACAAAGACATTGCCAGTGATATGTCCAAAGCTGTCTTGGCTGTACACTCTGGCTAACGCTCAGTTCAAGCCTCCAGTCATAACAAGTCAGAAGAAGATTAGTGAGAGACTGCTAGCCAGTTGGGAAAAGGCAAGAGATATCTCTCTTGGGAGAGGAAAACTTGCAGTTAAGGACAGCTTTGCCAAGCAACTGGACCAGTTATTTGACATAATTACTTGCAAGTGCCCAATTGTTCTCTGTCCTGAGTTTGGATGCGATCGTGACTGTAAATCCGAGGCCCACATCTCCTATATTTGCAAGCGTGAACTGAAGATTCCTGTGATCGAACTGGCATTTGTCAAAGCAAAGAGAGAGAAGACTGGCAGTATAGGGGCTCTCATGATTTCTAGCCAAGATATTCCGGAGTCCAAGAGACAGGAGGCTGCCACAGAGAGACAGAAGAGGAGAAGAGTTGCCGAGGAAAAGAGACTTGAGAAGGCCCAGGGTGAGGTAAAAAAGGCCGATGATTGGAGTCAAGCTGATTCAGAGTTTAATGACTTCCCCATGGCTGATCCGAGTGCTGACCAGGAGAATGGTGACTTTGTCCCTAACCCAGAAAATAATGATCCCAAACCTTCCAGGCATAAGATTCGAAATAGGAAAGATATCCCGAGCATAGCTCTGGCCAGCATGCGACACCACACTGGTCTCAGAGAAACTGCAGAGATAGCAACAGCTGCCTGGATTGACGGTGGCTTGATAACACCTGATGATGTTCACCTGGTGATAGATCATAACAAAGTAAGGAGAGCTCAGGAGAAACTTGTCAGTAACCTAGAAGAGGAGTTTGATAAGGGGATAGGAAAAATGGAATCAATTGTTTGTTCTTTGATGGGAGAAGGGATGACACTAAAGTGTTCATGAAAGTTGGAGATTCTGACAAGTTGTTCCCTGCCATGGTGAAGGAGGAACACTACTCCTGCTGCAGTGAACCAGGAGGGAAGTATTTGTGGCATTTCACTCCAGAGAAAGATGACACCAGGAAACCAGCTGAGATAGTGGCAGATAACATTGTGAACTGGCTCAGAGAGAGAACGTAGACCAGACCCTGCAGGCCATTGGAGGGGACAGCACCAACACGAACACAGGGTGGCAAGGGGGGGTCATACAGTGGATAGAGCGGAAGATTGGGAGGAAGCTGGTCTGGATTGTTTGTGACCTCCACACCAACGAGTTGCCACTCAGACATCTGATCCAGGAGCTGGATGGCAAGACTCTTTCAAACAACAGATGGTCTGGTCCTCTTGGCAAGATGCTGGACTCTGCCACTGAGTTAGAAATATATCCGAGCTTTGAAAAAATCACAGTTGGCCCTCCACTCGTTGAGCTTGCACATACTGTCATTGACGACCTGAGTACTGACCAGTACTATGGTTACATGATTTGCAGTGCCATCAAAACTGGGGTCATGCCTGAGAGACTTGCTTACCTGCAGATAGGTCCAGTCTCACATTCTAGGTGGCTCACAACGG